CTGTGCGTCAACAAGCCTTTCTTCATTATAAAACAACACTTTTGTTAAGAACTTTACCTCGACCCGGTAAAAAAGAATTTAAAAGTTGTGGCAAGCGGAAATCACCAGATAAAAATCTTGATATCAGTATCTTATGACTATAAAGGTATGGGCAGTGGGCGGCATAGCAGACTAAATTTTATTAGCACAACTACAACTAGGTACTACAATACTACATAAGATGCCAGTGTTAAGCTTGATGTGCCGTTGTCTGCAAGTACCTAGTTTGAGTTAAGAGTTTGTCAGTAGACGCATGGTATCAACCGCCAAGTTCACCTACATTATGTAGTTTTGTAAGTGAACTTTACATAGAGAAAAATACTTAGGCTGGGTAGCTGGGTTGCACCATCTTACTTTAACTTTGACAAACGTCAAAAATCTGTCAAACTCCATACAAAAAACACCGGTTATTGTTAAAGTTACGGTCAAAGTTAGGTGGTTAGCTTTAACGTTATGAGATACATACGTAACAAGAACGTTTTTGTCCAGTCACAAATAGCGGTTGGTACTTAAATGATATTAATTTTTTTTGTTAATTATCTTAATTTCCATTAAGTAACATGTGAAAACATTCCATATACTGCACTGCATTGCCTCTCATCGATACGGGACACACGTGGAACGTCTGCATATCGTATACAAAGTAAAAGCTCTTCGAGGAATTTGAGACGGGCATTGTGAGATGAGTCTCGCCATCGGGAACTATCCTATCTTGATTAAATTGTATTTGCCGGTATTCTTGGGATGACACGAGCACGGTAAACGTGCCGTTTACATAAAGAAATACAGGAAAACGGGTATATAAAGTATATTTACTTTTCAACGGAATAAAGTGTCAAGTCTTATACTTTTCTGTTGAAAAGTGGTAAACGAGGCAATTCGGATCTGAACCTTTTATTAATTACTTTTATTAAATGAGAACTTATTTAATTGGCCTCCGTTCACTAGGAAAACGTAACTGAACTAAATATTATGAACACTTGATTGTGAGTTCTAACCTGTCGTGAGTTCGATTCCCACATAAGAAGCAGTGATAAAACGTTTTGTGTAGTTGTTCCTGGGTCGGTAAATGATTACTAATTATACCGACCGTCAGTCTGATTGAACCAACTCTGTATAATGTGCTTTAAAGTCCGATACAACGGCGCACTAAGTTGTAACAACTTCATCATCTTTAGGTCATATACTCTCCACTGCAGGAGCATGACTCTTAAATTTACCAGAGGCAAATGAAGGATTTAGCCTACACTCCCCACACTGGCCAAACGGGTTGGGGAGTCGTTGTGTTACAACTTATAATACTTGTTTGGTATTAAGCAGGTAGGTACCTAAGTACTAACTGTATTTAGGTAAGCATGGGTCACCAAAATTTTGCATAAATCATAAAGATATTCAATGAACAGCAGTCATTACAGAATCGTAAAGTAATAAAACAAATGAAAATAAATTCTACGTACTTTTCACAGTCACAGGCATCATTCAGAAATTGCAGCAAAATTACTTCTATCAAAACTACGTAAGACACTACAGTATGCCGTCCCCTGCCGTCGCTTATCTATACTAATATTACGAGACATACTCGTATAAATGCGAAAGTAACTCTGTCTGTCTGTCTCTCTTTCACGCCTAAACCACTGAACCGATTTTGATGAAATTTGGTATAGAGATAGTTTGAGTACCGGGAATGGACATAGGATAGTTTTTATCCCGGTTTTTTAAACAGGGACACGCGCGATAAAGTTTTTCTGTGACAGACAAAATTCCACGCGGGCGAAGCCGCGGGCGGAAAGCTAGTACATTATATTACTTACTTATATTACGTTTCAAATTCAGTCTAGTCTAGCAAACAATACGAAGTGTTTCAAGCGTGGGCGTGATGTTGACTGTCCAGTAACATCTTACAAACATGAGTGTTGCATAAGTGGATTGTGCCGAAAACAGCAGCGGGGGACAATAGATATGTCCCGTGCAGGCGCGTCCCCTGAGCGTGTTGTTCGTAGGACATTGCGCAGTGCTTACTGGATGTGACTGTAATAATATTACATACTATGATGTTTCTGGACATTTTTTGTACCTGTAAGGACTCAACAAACTAAGCCCGCTGCATGGTGTCGGCGGTTTTAATCCAAAATAATCATGTCGACGACTTGTATTTTTTATGGCTTTTGACAAAATCTCAAAAGGTGCGAGTTTGGTGAGAGAGACTGCATTAGTAATACTATACTTATTATTATTCTTTGGTAATTAATAACTACAAAATAATATTTACAAACATATTCATGTCATTATCTTGTTGTTGTCTTATTTAACAGTGCTGAACGGCTTAATGTATTGGACGCCACATGGGGTCACTGTTGACTCCATGGGACTCCTATGGCGTCCCCAAAAAGATTTTCCGTTGTAGGTATCTTTGCAGTACTTAGGTATTATAATAATAATAAAACTGTGTTGATAAAAAGTTTTACAGACAACGTTTAAGGCTATATATTTATAAATTGTGCGGCACTATATCTTTGTATTTTTTCCTAGTTAAATAAAAGCTGAAGAAAGGTCAGCTTTTGTTTTTGCTGTATCGCTCACGTTATTCCAAACAAATGAAAGATCAATTTGGATGATCAATGACGCAGTATAGTAAAAAACACTAAATTAATTTGTTTTCAGCAACTTTGCTCTCAAGAGCGTTTTTACAGTCTTGTAGGTAGGTACAATGTATCCTGAAATATTATCGTAGTAACTTTACTCGTGCCTAGGCTTTCTGTATGTGTTTGTTGACGGATTATGGAAACAATTGAATACAGAGTGAGCATTGTAGAAGGGTGGTATTGAAACCATGTATCTGTTACACAAACATTTCGTAAATCTTTTCATTTAACTCAATTTGGTAATGTATATCGAATAATATCATCATTTACCTAATTTTTAAAATAGCAATTATTTCATTGCAAGACTAAATTATGTAAATAAAAAGGTTGGTCTCTACTTATATCGATATCAATTCGCTATTAGACTATTTATTTAGAATAGTAAATATATTTAATGTAAATACAGACGAACGTGTCTCAGTATAACACTTTCATTTTGATTAAGTTATTAAGGTCAAAGTCAAAGGTAAAAAAATAATAATTAAAAAGCTCATAGCAGACTTATCAACTCGGAAAGGGATCAACACCGTATCACCTTTCGCGCGCTGTCAATCGCGAGGCGAGGCGTTTACGTTGTGTGTGTTGCAGTATTATGGAGTTTCATACAAAGTATACTGACCGCCTAGAGTTGATACGGTTACGATCCCTTTCCGGGTTGATAAATGTTCTACGTCCTTAAAAAACAACGTCAAAGCTTAATACGCAATTAATTGCGAATACCCTTTACCTGGGGTTACGGCTGCCTACGTCAGATCTCGAGGAAAAAGAAAGCACGTTTCACGTGACAAAAGAGGCTATATTCGGTTTCAGCCAGTGGCCTGAAGTCGTGCGTACGTACCCGTTCCGTCGCAACTATGATGCATATTAGAACATGTGAAAACAAATCCTAAACCAACATTGTTTATAGCAATAAACGTACTGACATTTTAAGCCACTATAAATTATGAAAGTTCAGCATAGGGAGTGTAGGCTCAATTCTCTATTTGCCTTTGGCAAATTAGAGAGAGTCGTGCTCCTGCAGTGAAATTTTGACGATTATGAAATTATAGGTACTCAAGACTAGTTTCATAGTCATATTACTTAGCACAAATCAAAGCTGTCACGGCATTGATTAAATATCTATTCCATGTCGCTGAGCATATTTTCTGAATAAGGATCATAAAGTCGTAAAAACATTGTAAAAAATATTGTTGCACGATTATTAGCTACTACACAAGTACGAAACTGAATCTACGTCATGTTCTCTGTGCGTAGTTTTGTGACAAAAATTATGTTGATCAGCCGGGCTAGGATGCGCGCCGTGATAAAATGTTATCGATGATTTTAGACGACAATTGTGATACACGCTTATCGCGGCGCGTAACCTAGGCTTACAGGCGGCACCAGGGTATGCGCCTTAAGTGTGACAAAACTAAATGTGGTATGGAACAAATATTTGTTACATGTGGGAAGCCGAGTAACCTTACCGGACTCTACATTCAGCCAGAAAGCTTTGTTCTTGAAGTATTACGTCCGTAATACGTAATTATTCTAAATTGGTTACCTTTCCATTGTTCACTTACTATTTGAGACTGAAATACACATTAAGTTTGTACGAAAAGTATATGAATAGTTTGTATGGAAAATACCCACGTTAATTGTTTATGTTACTAACAAATAAGAGGCACATTTCCAAATTACGTATAGGTTTCTCTTCTAAACAACTTCACGGCTATTTATACATACCTACCTACAGGATGTCGTTCAATTAGTCTTTAGCTTTTGTAATATATTATTAAATCATAAACGAGTAACCATACTTGACTTACTTGACTTATGGTCCTATGTCCCCTAGATGGGGCAGAGGGCGCCCACAACAGTCCTCCATCTCGTTCGGTCTTGAGCTTCTCGCTTATATAAATCTTTATTAATTAAAACTGTCTCCATCCGCTTTTTATTAAATGGAAGCCTCAATCTTTTAGTAATTCGCCTTCCCTCAATCCTACAAAAATCATTAAAAGCTTTACCATGGTTGCTGAATTTTCCTGTTATTTTCTTAAAAATGAAATTTACATGACATAAAACTTATGTTAGACGAAGCGAACCGATCCAAGTTGCGTTGCCTTTCTGTTGCCAAAGCGCTCGAAATATGGTACAGAGACAGTGTGACCGGACTGAACAAATTGGTCAGCCTTCGATTTCCTTGGAATTGAAATAATGCAGTGATTAATCCCTAAAGGCGATGCTTATTCTCATCACGCCCCGTCAATGTCAGAGACGTTGCCTGCTTCGGAGTCTTGCGCCACACACCCCGTCCTAACTATATAATGGCTCGTTGCATCAGTGGTCAGTACAAGTCCTGTGATAGCGAGACAAAACAAAACACACCAAAATGTTCAAAATCGTAAGTGTGCACAATTCTACGAAAAATAAGAATAAAGTTAAAGGCACATTTTCTGGAAGCTTTTCCGGAAAACAATTTCATTTGTTAGTAGAGAAATAACTGTTTACCTGGAAAACGTAGAGACTTCTTTACTTAGTAAACTCTGATTTAGTTAAAATTGGTCGCATATTTTTAAAGTCTTCATTGATGAATAGCTTTAAGCCCGTATTTTGAGGAAATCAAATAAGCTTTTACATAAAACGTTTTGTAACACCCATTTTTGTGCCAGTGTTAACTTTACCTAATTTACTTGCTTCCTAAAACATAAATGCGATATAAATAATTCTTTACCTAAGTGTAAATCGTGATCTAATTAATATTTCAGATCGCCCTGCTCGCCGCTCTCATCGCCGTGTCGGCCGCCAAACCCCTTGTGGTGAGCGCCCCCCTGGTAGCAGCCCCCGCCCCCATAGTAACTGCCTCCAGCTCGCAGTACTACCACCGGATCAACAACGGCTTCGCAGCATACGTAGCGGCGCCCGCAGCATACGTCGCGTCCGCCGCCCCTGTTGTAGCGTCCCCGTACGTAGCGTCGCCGTACGCTGCGCCCTACGTTGCCGCCCCTGCCGCCTCCATCGTTGCCGTTTAAAATGACTGACTGATGCTGTTTGACTTGTGATATTATGATTAAATAAAATTATTACGTTTCGCATTAAACTTTGTTGTTATTTAATATCAAACTCCTAAAGAGTAATAAAGTACCCTCGTTAGTATGTTACGCCAGCCACTCCCATTGTAGCGCCCCCGTACGTCGCGTCGCCGTACGTCGCGGCGCCGTACGTGGCCGCCCCTGCCGCTACCATCGTTGCTGTTTAACTTGACTGACTGATGCTGTTTGGACTTGTGATATTGTGATTAAATAAAATTATTAAGTTTCGCATTAAACTTTGTTGTTATTTAATATCAAACTCCTAAAGAGTAATAAAGTACCCTCGTTAGTATGTTACGCCAGCCACTCCCATTGTAGCGCCCCCGTACGTAGCGTCGCTAGGTATACGTCACGGCGCCGTACGTGGCCGCCCCTGCCGCTACCATCGTTGCTGTTTAACTTGACTGACTGATGCTGTTTGACTTGTTATATTATGATTAAATAAAATTATTACGTTTCGCATTAAACTTTGTTGTTATTTAATATCAAGCTCCTGAAGAATGTAAGTATGTCGCCCCAACCGCCCCCGTTGTAGCATCCCCGTACGTAGCGTCGCTAGGTATACGTCGCGGCGCCGGACGTGGCCGTCCCTGCTGCTCCCATCGTTGCTGTTTAAAATGACTGACTGATGCTGTTTGGACCTGTGATATTATGATTAAATAAAATTATTACGTTTGGCATTAAACTTTGTTGTTATTTAATATCAAACTCCTAAAGAGTAATAAAGTACCCTCATTAGTATGTTACGCCAGCCACTCCCATTGTAGCGTCCCCGTACGTTGCCGCCCCTGCCGCTACCATAGTTGCTGTTTAACTTGACTGACTGATGCTGTTTGGACTTGTGATATTATGATTAAATATTTCATTTCGCATTAAACTTTACTTTTATTTGAGAACCTATACCGAATTATCAAAGAAAGATAATTATTTATTTATTTAAAAACTTTATTGCACACAATATTACAGAATACAATATTATCAGATTCGAAATAAAATTATCTTACATGGATTTAATTAAAAGCTACGTATTAACTTAAAAAAAGTTTTATTACTCGTAAATAAGTTAAAATTGAACAAAACAAGTAGGTAATTACGTAAAAGCTTCCATGTAAGTAAGTCGAAAACAAGATGATTTATTGTATGATGATGAACTTGAATTAAATAATAAAATATTATGATAAATATTTGTAATCGGAGGCGTAAATTTATAGACGAGCCAAGACGAATATGTTGACCTGCAAGTTCCAGAATGTCCGTCTTTAATAAATAAGGCAAAGCAATATGAGTTACTACACACTTAAGCGGGCCAAATTCAAGAAATTAGACACTTGATCGGCTTCATTTAATTACTGCTGACTGAATAGTTAATATTAAGACAGTATTTACCACGAAAGCCGAACGGTTAAGGGGGCTGGCTGACTCGTGATCCGGGGAACGCGGGTTCAGTCCCGCTCGACTATTGTGGTGAGCTTACTCGTGACACAAGCATATTAAGCTTAGTACGAGGGGTGAACAGGACTAAATTTTATTAAACAACTTGAAAAAATCTAACTGCCTCCTAAAGCGGGACACGAACCCACGACCTTCCGCTTGCCGGGCGACTGCTCTTCGCTATTCGCTCTATTCGCTAAGAATTTTTAATAGCTAACAGGACTTTTTTTAAAATGAGCTCAAATAATATACCCGTTAATGTGTTTAGCAACCCTTTCTGAACATAGGCCTACCCCACTGATTTCCTTTGGTACCTGCGTCCTATGACTGAAATAATGATGACGATGAAGACTTTCTAGCGCTTGTAATATTTTTTTACAAAATAATTCCAAGAAATATTAATTTTGATGATAATTTTAACGATTGCTGTACAATTTCAGACAGTTTATCCTGCTACTTTACATAAACTACTTAGTAATTAATACGTTTAATGTTATTAACGAATTCATATAAACAATAAACATGCCATGCAGTGGCAAGGCTTACCTTTGTTCGTTTTGCATTTAAACTCCAATTACATATTAACAGTAGAGTAGCGCCTCTTAGGAAATCATTCACAAAGTTAGTATAGTAAGATTGCTTGCAGTTGTTCTTTATTAATCTTTATACACCAAAAGCACTAGTACGCCTTATCCAGTATTTTACAAGGATTATGTAAAGTTACATATGAATAACTTAAAATATTAATGATAAAATTAAAGCTTGATTGGTTAAAAACTAAAATTCAAAAAATTACAGTCCAAATTGTGTTTTCAGTTCAGCATACTCGTATGCTGAACTGAAAACACAATTTGGTTTGTAATTTATGGTTATGTTTGCTTTTAGTTTCACCAAATACTAACTTTAAAAAACTATATTAGATGAACGAGTAATGTTTCAAAAATACTACTACGAATGTAGTTTTCAGTGAGATAATCCCTGTATTATTTTATTGTTAGGACAAGTCATTACGATTTGTGTATATTATAGAATGAACGCCTTGTACAGAATTCTTTCACACAGATGCGGGCATAAGATTTCACACATGGATATTTTGTAGGCGTTTGTATTTGCTTATAAGTATTTATTTCTTGTAGTATAAAAGACGTATCTGTTTAAAGATTATTTATTATACAACTCACAACCCGAAAATTCAAGAAAAACAGAATTAACGTACCTCTTCAGCCATGTAACATTTCACCAAAAGAAATGATAAATTTTCTACAGCTGTCGTCTCCCCGGGGTATTTGGAAGAGATTGTTTTCTAGTATACGTAAGACCGTGCGAATTGTGATGTGCTATAACTATTTGTATTCCAGATGATTTTCAGTTTTAAAGAATGAAGAGTAAATTGTCTATCGTTTTTATAATTACTTTCCCAGATGGGAAACCTCTGAATTTGGCATTTTCACCGAACTAGGGCGGGTACACCCTTAGAGATATTGTCACCGTTTAAACATTATACCAAATTGGGGATTGACCTAAAAAAAGGTAAACAGTTTGAGCCTAAATTTCCTTTGTGACGGGCAAGCCCAAGACAATAAAGTTTTATTGCGTGAAACCTCAAATTACCTGTTAAAAACCCGTTTTGGGTTGAAACTTGTTACGAATGAGGCTGCGTTGAAATTAATGATACTAAGGTACATTAAGAACCTATTACGAACGAGCAGTACATGTTAAATACTTTTAATTAGATTATTCGAAAAACACCGCCTTTAGGTGCTTTCCCAATGGCCCATAATGTGTATTATTATTCCTTCGACGTTTCAATACGATTTTCGTACCCATCAAGGTCCCTGTCCTTACCCATTGAAACATTAGGTATTCCGGTACACCCGCAACGTTGCCTCACCACAATGCAAAATTTGTTACACCTATATAAAAGAGAGGGCTACAATTTCTAGCGTCCGCATTATAATTTCATGGGTGTCATGCGACGGGACTCTGCCATGATTCGATCGGTACTATCAATAAACATATTTTAAGCATCAATAAGAAAGTAAACACATGTAAATAACCATTCTAANCATTTAAATTTGTTTCAGGTAATAGCGCTGTTTGCCCTGTGCGGCGCTGTGCAAAGCTCGGTCGAGCATGGCCAAGCAGTGTTCCCCGTATTCCCTGTTGCTCAGCAAATACCACCTCCTGTTGTGACATCTGCCAGCTCGCAATACTTTGAGAGAACGTTCAACCGACTTATCGCACCGCCTGTTATACCAGTCGCCCCTGCACCTCCAGTGTTTGTCCAGCCAACGCCAAATGCAGTACCAATAGCACCATCTCCATCGCCAGGCGAACCAGTTCAACCTAACATAGCCATTGCCGTAGCAACTGCCCACGCAGCCGCACCAGTAGCCACCATACTTCTGCCCCCGTACCCGTTTGGACCACCACCGACCATAGGCTTTATTCCTCCATCGCCACCGATCAACGTCCCTGATGAGTCCCGGAAAGAATCAACTACACAACCGACTACGAAAGTTGAAACGAAAGCTACTACACGACAACCCGAAGCGACGACGCCTCTACCAGCGAGTTCTGACAACAGCTTCTCCCAAGCACTTCCCTCCAACCAGAACATCAACTTCAAGCAGTTTTACGGGCCCCCACCCCAATTGCCGCCACAAATGAAGCCACAAAAGGTGAAGACGTCTGTGGAAATTGTGCCTGTGCCCTTGACTTACATAGCGCCACCACCTTTGAAACTTCAAGCGGTCAAGACTGTGAAACACTATCACACGTATGTGCCATTGAAATCCAAGCTGATTATCAGACCTGTGCATTCTCATTCGCATCCAATAAGGATTGTTCGAAGGCCAGTGAGATTAGTTCATAGAGTGCCACTGTCGGACAGAATAGGAAGTGCCCCTAATGTAAGAAGACCTATGTCAAGGGAAATTGAACCGACCACCTTCAGTCCATTCGTGAGGTCTGCCACCAAGCCCCCACGTGTATGAAAAACAGTTAATTGTATAATAGATAAAAAAATCACACTTGTTAATATATCTGCACATTGTAAATATAAATGAGGTTAACCAATTGTAAATAAAAATATTTATACTTTTTTACATTATGATTTTCTATAAAACTCCTATAAGAAATGTTTAGGCAATTAACATTTATAGTTTAATGTTTTATATTATGTTAATAGTACTTTAATAACAGAATATAAAACATTAATTTCTAAGGTAATATACTTCACTTAACAGGATAAAACATAAATAAATTAATAGAAAATACCCTTTATATAGCTACTCCAGCAATTTTTATGAAGTCTATTTATCTATCTGGTAACGAAGATAAACCAACTACCACTCAGCAAACATTTATAAAGTAGGTATGGACGACGGCACGTCAAGCTACATATACTGTGGGCTCTTTATGTCCTTGTAATAAGGATGACTTTTCAACAAAAATGTGTAGTATGATGTGCTGTATCTGTACTTGAAGTAGGTATACTGACATACCGGATCCATTGCACATTGCTTATTCAGGGAAATGAAAAAGCTGTAAGTTACACAGCACAGTACACTCGTAGTACTGACACTCGTAATGATGACAGCACATCAAGTTTTACTGCAGCGTCTGCTTTAGTTGTAATCAGTGCTATTTTGAAGCTCATACTCGTACAATTTTTTGGTTTCCCTGGGAAACTCTAAGGCTGGGTTGCACCATCTTACTTTAACTTTAACAAACGTCAAAAATCTGTATAACTATATAAAATATGAATAAGTAACGTCAAAAACGTTAAAAATATGTATAAATATATAATAACTCCATATAAGAAGCACCGGTTATCGTTATAGTTACGGTTAAAGTTAGGTGGTACAACTCAGCCTTAGAATTAATGTAATTAAAACCTTGTGTTACATAAACCATACATAGTGGTTAATCTATTATTGCTTCACTATAATAATATGTTTTCCAAACAAAATAAAATAAAATAAAATAAATAAATAATAAATTTATAGTTAATTCGTGTTAAGAAAATAGTAAAACTGTCGTAATAATCAAATTGTCCGAACTTAATTACTTCAAAATTAAATGGTCAACGTGAACACGGCTTTCTAAAATTACTATGATCTAATTGGTCAAACGGCGTTTCTTAATTTAGAAAATCACTATTTTCTTAACGCGAATGCACTATAGTAATAAATTATAGCCACAATAGCCGAATGGTGAAGGGGTCGGAGTGGCCGACTCGAGATCCGAGGAACGCGGGTTCGAATCCCACCGCCGCTCGACTATTGTGGTGAGCCCACTCGTAACACAAGCTTATTTAGCTTAACACGAGGGGCTAATGGGACTATTAGTAATTTGGGCAATACAAATTGCTAATAATCTTTAAAAAAAAATTAAGTGAAATTATATTAAACAAATACAATTTTATTTTTTTACATGTTCTTCAATTACCTACAGAGAATTGAACCTACTACTATTTACAAATTGAGTTCATTAAACCATAAGCCAGTCTAAACATAAAAATCGGCCACAAGTATCTACTCATTTCCACGTTGTGATTTTAATAACTCATTTTTTTATAATTCAGATTAAATAATACTTAATTTCAAGAAAATGGAATGGAGATCATCCTCTTCCATGAAAATTTTCGTAGTTTTAATTATACAGTTGTCAAATAGCCTTCTTCAGCCTAACCTTATACACCAAAATCATTCAATCAATTATTGTATTTTCTTAAATCCCAAGTTAATTTAATTATTTTAATGATTCCATTTTAATTTCTTGAAAAACGTAGTTCTATTCCACAGAGTTCATTTATCATAAGCACCATCCTGTATTTTTATTGCATCGATCGTTAGGGTTAAGTATAAGGATAAAATCTCTCTAACAAACTTGATAAATCAAATGAAAGGAAAACCATGAAAATGTATGAATGTAGCCAGATTGAAATCTCCATCGCCACAGTTCGTTTGTTTTTCACGAATAGATAAATTTTCGCTTTGAATAAGATAGGCTATAAAAATATGGTGCGGAAATAAAAAATGGAATGAAGTGTTGACGATATGAAACCTTTTTTTTATTATAACAAAAACAGTGAAATTATTCATGGTTTGCAGTGAAATCTTATTAATATGTCTAACAATAACGTGCCGGCGACTTCAATTGAGATTCCATACAAACGGATCTAAGCGTCCATCAAAACTGCGATGTTGCCGGCTGATTATTTTCAAAACCGGCTAACTGCCCCGATGCCACATTACCTTAAACCATGCTGTAATGACATGCGTCCCCGTTGCGTGCCCTGAGTTTTACTAGCCTCTGCAATACTATGACGAAACGGCATACAAGGTGAATCTTGCAGTCTTTTGTTTGTATAAAAGGTAATGTCGTCAAACAGTTAACATCACACTCGCATCCTCTCTTCGACAGAGACAACCCAATCTAGCAAAATGTACAAGATTGTAAGTGCTCTTACAATATAAATTATGACTTATCAAATATTATAGAGGTTGTAAAAATATTTCTTAAACATACTAATAATAACTATCTTTACAGACTTTCTTCCTCGCCACCCTCGCCCTGGCTGCTGCCAAGCCCAGCATTGCCCCAGCTGCCGTCGTAGCCCCAGCTCCACTAGTGGCTGCCCCTGCTCCACTAGTCGCTGCCCCTGCTCCATTCGTCACCGCCTCAAGCTCACAATACATCTCCAGAAACTACAACGGGGTCTACGCTGCCGCTCCATTAGTAGCTGCACCCGTAGCTGCGCCCCTAGTGGCTCCTGCTGCTAAAATTGTTGCTCCTGCCCCAGTCGTAGCAGCAGCTGCTCCACTTGTAGCCCCAGCAGCGAGATTCGTTGCCCCAGCTGCATATGCCCCTGCTGCGTACGCTGCAGCTCCTGCTTTCGCCTACGCTCGGTATGCTGAGCCCTTCGCGCCTTATTACGCCGCTCCTGCCCCCATTGTCGCCCTTAAATGAGCCAAATCAAGACTGATATAGACCCAATGTATTAATAAATTTGTATCTTGTACATAAACTTGATTTTATCATTACTTTTTTCCTATAGATTTAAGGGGCTAAAAATCGTGTCTTACAAGATTTTTCTAGACGAATTTCCTGGAAGTTTCTGATAGTTTTAAAGGAATTACGTATGCCATTGTTTACATGTGTAGGCGGCCGGCCTGTGGTTTTGGGAGTTGGAGTTTCAAGGAAGTTTCCCAGTGGGCCTTGGCTAAAGTAAATAAGTCCTCAACAATGCCTCCAGACCTTGTTACGCAAGAAGCCTTAGTAGGACAAAAGAAACAATTGAATTAAGTGATTTATTTCTGGACGTTACAATACGTCAGACGCTTGGTTCTATGAAACATATTTTAGTAAACAAGCTATTAATGTGAAACACAATTTAATAATAATAACATTAAGTTAGCTCCTACAAAGTTTCAAGATACAAACAGAGAATAAACTCATTATTCAAATGGAAGATGAAAATAAAATGCTGCTAGACGTTATACACACAGACTGAGATACAACATTAATTCAATAAGTATTGTTACAAAACAATTTAATAATTTGTAGAGTCGAGTATCTAAGAGAAGCGTAAATAGATCTCAGCCCACTTTCGGATTACAGACGATGAATTTAGGCTATTTTGAAAATAAAGGGTGTCATATTTTAGGTCAACAGTAGAAGTTGGTTAAATACGTTCGGATACAAAATCTAAATCTGCCTTTTAATATGATTTTCTAGTTATTTAGTAATACACCTAACGCGCATAAATAATGATCAGTAAGTATATTAGTTTCCACTTAAAATTTAAGTAAAGACACAATGGCATGGTGATCTCTTTTGTATCTCAAATGAGAGTCATAAAAATTTAAGTAATTTGCACTAAATGCGGATCGTTTACTACTTTTATTTGTAGAAGTCAAATTAAAACTCCGCTTTTCATAACTCAGTTCGTATCACTTCGAAAATTATACTACACTTTACTGGCGCGTATCCGAACGCTATCTATTTCTCCTCGGATCGTCGTCTGAATACAAAGCACTCGAGCCGTTTGAGCCAATTAGGATTCGATTTAAACATGGTTATTCTGCTCGCCCTGCATAATATTGGGGGCGTCCTTCGGCCGTGGTCTGATTTGTGTCAAGTGTTACGTCTGAGAGTATTTATGCTCCTCTTTGATTTTGACGTAATTTGAATTTATAACGGAGTTCTACCTCGCGGATCGTGACTAGCGTAGTTTAAATTTAAAGTGGAGATAACTAGGTTTACTATTAATTAAGAAAAATATTCATTTTGTATCTATATTTATAGAAAAAGCAAGACGCAAACCTACATAAATAAGAATAGATGTTCCTTTGCAAAAAAATTACCTANGCCGCTAGTTCAGTGATAAACAATTCGGTCGAACCTGAGAACTACTGTTGGAAGTTATGTGTATATGCTTAACATTTCATTAACAACTAAGCACTAACTTAACAAACTATGGGATCAAAAAAATACAATGAAAACAGCTTGTACTTAAATTACTCGGTAAATGAAGTTGCAATTTTTACAAAGAGATAATAAATTGTTCGCTTAACCAGTCACCTTGTATATCTATGAAACTAAAACCAATACTGTCTATTTATGACTCTTATAATGATATTATAAGTGATAAAGTGATTACAAAACGGACCCTATAAACGACCTTTTGTTATATAACACAACTACCGATGGTCAGTTAGAGTCATATTCGGTAATCGATGGTGTCCGTGCACCTATTTGAGTATGCAAGCGTCCTGCCTATGGAAAGTGAAACCTATGGTGACTAAACGGTCGTAATGCTTGCAACAGTTGTACTATATAACGACATGTGACACATTCATCAATACATTCCTACATTGATAGTCGACTAATCAAGTCGCTTCACTAAATACATACATAATGTCGTTACTAAGACTAGTGAGTATCCCGTTCAATCAAAAAGAATGATAGCTAATCAATAATTCAGCAGAAATTAATAATGCTTTATTCAATTACAGGTCATCTTCGCTGCCGCAATCATAGCTAGCAATGCTAGCGGGATTGGCCACCTCGTTCCAGCAGTGAAATCCTTCCCTATAGTGCGGTATGCACCGTTCTACAACTTTCCTGGAGGTGTAAGATCTATACACGCCGTGGCTCCAGCACCAATTTTACCGGCTCCAGCACCAGTAGCCCCAGCTTTTGCTGCTGCTCCAGCGTTCCCCGTGCCATTGGCTGCTCCAGCCTTCGCACCGGCTCCTGCCCCAGTGTTTGCCCCAGCGCCCACTCCAGTATTTGCACCAGCTCCAGTTCCTGCTCCGGCTTTCGCCCCAGCGCCTGCCTTCGCCCCTGCTCCAGTTTTTGCTCCAGCGCCCGCTTTTGCTCCAGCTCCCGCCTTTGCCCCAGGTCCTGTCTTCGCTCCGGCTCCTGTATTACCCAAGCTTGCTCCAGTGATCCCACCCCTACCACCACTAGCGGCTCGTGCCGTTCCAGTGCTGCCCTCTGTGCCATTCGCTCCTGTTGTGAGAGCTGTCGCGCCCGCCCCCCCTCCATTATTCGCCCCAGCCCCCGTCGCGATCGCCAAAGCAATCCCTTTTAACCCTTACCATAGATTTGTGGCGCCAGCGCCTGCGATACCAGCACCATTCTTCAAACAGGTCGCATGGAAGTGAATCTAGTCTTGTAACGTACTCAGTGTAGAAATTTGTTGTTGTTGTTTATTGTTATTGTTTTAGTCATAGCTAGGAACATTTTGTAATAATTTGTAAATAAATAAAATCAATTTTATAATGCGTGCTTATAATTTAAATACTTCCATTAAGACACATAATAGACGTTATTAAATACTCGTATGTTACACGTGACCTACTTTTACAAAGAGACTGAATCAAAGTAATGAATAAGATTTTGCTTCACATATTGAGAGACCTACATTCGCCACAATTAGATGAGATACGTGATATTCATTAATTCAAGCAATTTAAGCAAAATAATCACACGTTAGATCCACTCTGAGTATTTAAGAGTAATTTATTAAAGTTCCTTGTCCAAATTCCATAATTATTAAAAATCTTATTTTGTGACATAAAAAAACATTAAAATTTAAATGATTTGTGTTCCTAATGTTCAATAAATTGACGATTCATCGTACTGCGTTTTGAAGTCAACATTTTAAGAGGATAATACGCCCGTATTCACAAACGATGCTTGCTTAAGTGAAGCAGCAAATTGAACGCACAGCGTTGAATAGCTCTGTGATTGGTTCGTGTGTCATCCTGTGCGTCCACGCGCACTGTGAGACCTCATAGTAATGTCTGTGAATACGTGCGATAGTTAATTTAGTATGCTCGATTGATGTAGGTAATTTATAATATCGCCAAAACCATCCTTAAATCATTATTTATTATACTCCGTGCAGTTTTGTAAATTCTATTTTAAAACACTTCTGCAAAGTTGAAGTAGCAAAATAGCCCAGTTGCGTTTGCATAAAAATAATACAAAAGCGTAGGAAGATAACTCAGAAATCTTAGAATATTAAAATGTTGGATTCCGTTGAAAGCAATCAGCTGTATGCTTTCAAGCATTATTAAAACCCTTGAAGGGTCCTTCTTACATCGTATTATTATTTAAAAAAAATATATAAACAAAAACATATTTAATTGCAATTATTTATTTATCATATAAAAATCATAACAAAACAACAGTCATATTATAAAACTAGAATTTTTCTAAAGAAAGGTCAGTCTGTTTTCTTTAATCTATCGTACGAACGCTGGGGCGCCCAAGTAAGGCGAGCGGAGGAGAGGAGCAGAGTAAGGGAAAGGTGCGGCGTAGGGCGCAGGGCCGGCGAAGGCAGCAGGGGCGGCGTATGCAGCAGGAGCGGCTAATGCAGCAGGGGCAGCGTATGGAGCAGGGGCGGCGTATGCAGCAGGGGCGGCGTATGCAGCAGGGGCGGCGTATGCAGCTGGGACGGCTAAAGGCGCTGGCACTGGCCCTGCGATGTACGGGGCAGAAGCGTAAGGGTAGATAGCTCTGTTGACCACGCTGACTTGAGACGCGAATGGAGGAACGTTCGGTGGTATGGAGTGCGCGTAGCCAACAGCTGCTGGCGCCACAAGAGGGGCAGCTACTGCTGGGACAGCGCTGGATTCAGCACCCATGGCGAAAGCCGCAGCAATCAGTACGATCTGTTGAAAAAAATACACATCAATGGTTTTCGTAGAAAAAGTTTAAAGTACATTACAGTAAAGGTAAGATAATTTGACTGTAAAAAGCTAGAAATATAGGCACTTAACATCCATTACACAGAAATAGATGCCGTCTGGAGATAAAAATAGTTTTCAAGTGTACAAAGGAGTTGTTTAGAAGTCAGCTATAATTATCAAAGGCATTTTTATCCCGTTTCCAAATCGACCCTTGGAGTATAGTTATTTTATTAATAGGTAATTGCTGGAAACTTACAGATTTGAAAGAAAACATTTTGCTTGTTATGCTGAGGACCTTCTTTGTCGAGGTAAAGACTTGTTGTGTGTTTATCGAAACATTGCGATCCTTTTATATGTCGTTTATTGTGATTCAGATAACGTGGTGCAAATTGAACATTTGACGTATTGCGGCAGTCACTTGGGATTCGCAGAGGCACGCGCGGAGAAATGGAGCACATTGGGAAACGTTGATCCGTTGTGAAATTTTTCTTTGTAAGGTAATGTGCGATGCAACTACGATGCATTTCACGCAACTCAATCGAAACCTCAAAGACAAATGTAAGCCGTTCGACAAATCCGGTACAAGTTAACACGAGGGACTTTTAGGCTGAGTTGCACCATCTTGCTTTTTAATAAACGTCAAAAATCTGTCAAACTCCATACAAAAAACACCGGTTATCGTTATGGTTACGGTCAAAGTTTGGTGGTGCAACTCAAACTTAATAGTCTCTAATTAAAGTTATGAACTACTAGCATGATTGCTACTCCATTTATAGAAGAGTATTTTTGTATCAATATGATGGTATTTTAATCATACTCTTTAACAACATACCTACTGTAATACCTGAGCCACATACAAAAATGCGTCTATATTGCTCCAATTTTTCGTGTCAAAGTAGGCTTTGCGGTGATTAAATCTTTTTACTAGTTTATCAACTTTATGTCACAAGACTGAACCAGAAACGCAACACTATTTCAAAGAAAGATCTCAACGATTTATAGAGCAATATCAACTCACATGCTTGAATACGAGTATAACAGAACTCATAAGATTATGAAATTGCAAGGTTTAAGTCTACCTAGGTACTTTAAAAAATTCAGTTCTAAATGACAACATTTTATTGATTTCAATGTCTGTTGTATTATCAAAGTACCAGGACCACCTTATTGTCTACCATTAATTCCTGCACATAGCGATCATTATAATTTCGTCCATTTGCGACGACAGTGTGACATCTTCAATTAGATTAACACAGAAGATGTCACGTTGTCGTCGCAAATGGACGATTTGAGTCTTATGAATGATGAGTCGCCCCAATAGTTTTCCCTTTTGGCACTTACATAACGGCCAGTGAAATTGTTCTACACAAAGTCGAAATTAGAATGCACAGCCCGTCTACGCAGTCTGGGTCAAAAATCGTGGTGCCAGCGATGTCCTGCGCATTGCTTAGCTACGCATGCGTCGTGATATTGCTCAATGGAATCGGTTCAGTATAAAACATGATGATGGCCTGAAGACAGCACAGTCCATCGGATTCACTAGTACAGTTTAGTTTGTGAGCAGTCACACAAAAACCCAAGCAAAATGATCGCCAAATTCGTTGTAAGTTTTACGAATTTTTCTCGACCAATTTACTAAATTGAAATTTTGTAACTTGGTTTGGATAATACAATTTGGTTCTTCTTCACAGATCGTCCTGGCTCTCGCCGTAGCCGCCAACGCTGGCGCAATCCCCTTGGCCGCTCCTGCCGCCGTCGTCGCCGCTGCCCCCGCGGCGTACGTCGCGCCTTACGCCAGCTCATACTCCGCCCACGCCGTCAACCACGCCGTTGCGACCCCCTACGTAGCCGCCCCCGCGGCCCCCCTCGTCGCGGCCCCAGCAGCCCCCCTCGTTGCGGCCCCAGCTGCCCCCTACGTTGCAGCCCCTGCAGCGCCAGTTGTGGCCGCCGCTGCCCCCTACTACTCCGCTAGATACCTCGCCTCCCCCTACTACCTATAAACGAATTTGGTGACATCATTGCCTTAGTGACTTGCTCAAATGTATTGTTATTATATGAGATTCTAAACTATCCTTGTGTTTTCTTGCATTCGTAATTGGTAAACCAATTTGGCACCGACTCCAAGCCTGCAAGGGAGAACTTCATCAGACCAGACTTAATGATAATAAATAATAATATACCTAGTGACTTTATCAGAGCCATATGAGTATCAGTGTTCATAAAACTGATGGTTTATTTTTGTGCATCATATTCCTATTCTTAGAACTGTCAAAATAATCGATCATCTTGTCAACATCTAGTTAAAATGTTAGACTACATTTGGCTAACATAATATCCCTACGTAAGTAAGCAGGTAGGTAAATTCCGTACCGCGCGGGAATAACTTGACATCTCGACCTGCACTTTTTTTTTATTAGCTTAAGCGCTTCCTCTACCTTATACCCTACTGGTATAAAAAACTCAACTCGAAATACCCAAAAATACTTGAAATACAGCTCTTGTTCATAAGTAAATAACTCTAATTTAGGCAATAAATATTTGACATAACGATATATCCAATTAATATTATTCTTACAAAGATTTATATTTCGATTTATCAATGTATGTCAGAACATGTATTTATTAATATCTCGACTTATACATTTAAGGATTTTCGTTTTTAATTTGACAAAAACAGTTATCAAGTTATGATCCCCTCTGAGTACTAAACACATCCATGATATGTGCAGTTGTCTTGTTATGCACGCAGTCAAGAGTTTGGATATTTGGAGTTATCCAGCTATTACCTTCGTATAATCATATTTTTATATATGTCATTAGCAGTTGTTAAAATATAACATTGTCAGGATTACGAGCGTCTTTAAATATTTTTTACTTACCAACCCCTGAAAATATTTTTTAAATATATTTAAGCGTTCATTATTACTTTTATTACTATTTTCAATAGCTTAAAACTAAATTAACGTTTAAATAGCAAGTTGAAAGAAGAAGGATAAGTTTAGTCAATAGGTAGGTACTATCTACTAATGTTTTTTCATAACAGACTAATATTTCGTTTGACAACAGAATTTAAGTAAAAAAGCTAATAATAAACTTTTATGTCAATTTTAAGTTCCGGATAATTTTATTTTTATAGTCTATTTGACTTCAATGACATTATTTAGGAATAATGATGAGGTAAAAGTAAGTAGGGTCGATACGCTAGATCTCGTCCATTTAGTGAGTTGGTAGATTTGAGGAATAAAAATAATATACAATTTTTCGTAATCATTTTGAACGAAAAATTGTCATTATGCTCCCTTTAGTCTTTATAAGTATAGTATTAAACTTGCTCTAAACCATTAGAAGTTTTAATATTATCTTTGTAATATTAATAAAATATAGAAAAAATGCATTCAAAATCACTAATAATTAATAACAACATGGAAATAAAAAAATATAAATAAAATCTTACTAAAATTGGTATTCAAAATACACTCGACAGCAAATAAATCGCACCACCCGCGACGCGAACTTTAAAGATTTTCTTTTGACACAATAATGGTGCCCCAACAATATTGGTGTTATTTGAAAGCCCAATAAATATCATTAAAGAAAAACACATTTAATTTCTTAATAAATGATTAACATATACTACCATAAATGTGACTTGAAAAAAGACCTCACTTTGGGCTCACCTCTGGGATCAATTAAACCAAATGTTATGGTTATAAAACCAAATAATGATCACACGTGTCCTCTTTAACAGATGGATAGCGATTAATCCCAACTTAACAGTTTTATAGCCATAAAAGTTGGCTCAAGCGTAATTATCTGTTTTTTTAAGAAGTGACACTGGATCCTTCTAAAGATACATTTTTGGGGTAAAAACCTTTCCTATAATGAAATGAAGTTTAGAAGTAGGCTTTTGAATGGTACCAATATTGGTGTGAAATGGGGATGCATACGTTTGAAATTGCTTGTCGCGGGTGGTGCGATTTATTTGCTGTCGAGTGTATTTAGGTATCACACTTAATAATTATAAATTTATTTTAGTTTATTTCATTTTTTGAAATTTCAATAGTATGGCTCAATTTGCAATATAGTATCCTCTCTAGGCACAATTTGCTTTTTAATATTATTTACAACGTCTGTATTTAGAAAATAGTCGTGATAATGTGGATGCAAATTGGCTATCACAAGGGTAAGCTACATTAAGAGCGTGTATTAGCGTCCAGGAAAAGGTCTAAGTACTGAAAAAAATCTTTGTGTTCGATGCGTCATGTAAATAACGTTTTACATGATATAAAACATGCATTGTTTTGTATATTTTAATATCTAAGACCCAGTTAGACCAGACCGCGATCACTTCTGACGCAAAGTGGAAATTGCATTGTAGTAAATTCGCATCCACCTTATTTTAAGTGTCATTTAATACAGTACAATCACCGATATCATTATCCGTATTGTATGGTTCATGGTTAAGGCTTATATACTGCGGTAAATCCCAAACTAGACCTAATATATTAAAATCTTACCTTGAAACACGCACCTGCTCATGTGGGATTTATTTTTGGCAAAAACGGTAGCATGCTATAAGATTTTTTTAATGTGGGTTTACGTACATACATTCAGGGAATCATAGCAATACCTTTCGTTCTAGAGTGATCCGTCATTTGGACGTGAACTGGACGGTGGACGCGTAAGAGCGTATCGACCTTACGCAAAAATGTATCCAGCTAATTTTAATTATTTTAAGCTTAATGGTAAGCTTAAAATAATTAAAATTAATTGTGCTTGTTATGAAGCATGGCTTTTGTTCTTTTATTTGTATTTTTTTAAATTTTAAGTAAACGTACAACTACCTGATCAAAAGCGATCATAATCTGCGATTATATTTGATTTTTCTAATAAATTTGCTACTATTTCATTGCAAAAGTGATAAAAATATGTTCTATTCTTATGTTTTGTTTTTTTACTTAAACTTCATTCAAAATAATTAATTCAAATCCAATTTTTACACCTTAAATATTTGTTTTTCTTTGGTGAATAACTTGACAAGTCGTCGGTACACAACTTGACAAGTCTTTTTTATAATAGATTAAGAAGATAATTTAATCAAATTCTTACAGCAATCGAAAGATATGCATCAAATTACCTTATTTCAATCATAAAAATATCAATTATCATTAATTCCGATTTACCAGGGAACTCTAAACTTTAAAATCGCTCCCCTGAAAAGTACGCAAAAATGACATGTCAAGTTATTCCCGCGCGGTACGGAATTGTAAATCACCACTTTTAGGTACCTTACAAAGTCACGCCATAATATCTTATTAGCAATCTAAATTATGTCAGTTAC